AAAAAAAATTCCTCAAATGAATACTTTTCCCTACCCAAGAGCCTTTGATTACAGACAATTTTGCATAGTTTTTAAAAATTCTACCATCTATTCCAATTCGGCTTGGATTAATTTCAACCGGACGGCAACACGGGGTCTGGCCCTCGATCAGAAGGCTTCGCTGCCCGCGAGAGTTGCGGATCTAAAGCAATAAAACCGCGTTATGATTCTGAGTGATAGGCCACACACATTGCACTCCTATATTCATCCGAGGATGATGGCCGAGAGGGTGAGGCGGAGGGAGGCCCAACAAACCACATGTTCTTCACCACCAACAGTCATAAACTTATGGAGAACAGAGGCCAAAGGAATCGGGCCGACATTGGCGGAGCCCCTCCGAATCCGGCGGCTACTCGTTGTTCAGACACGAAAAAAATGCGGAAAAAAGTCGCAAAATCGACCACCGTTGCCAAGTTGTGACATTTTTCAGGTTCATTAATCGGAAAACATCTAGGTTTTCAGTAAAAGGTTGGCGGGAGGGAGTGGAGGGGGAGATCAGACGGTGTAATCTGCCCGATGATTTGTGGGAGGATCGATTCCGATGGCGATTTGGAGTCGCAGAGCGCTCTAGTGCGCTGAGGTAGCGGCTTGATATATATATTTATCTAGGTTTTTCGACGGTTTTGGAAAGTTCGAAGGAGATGAGGCCAGTCTGGGGTGTGTATTAAAGACTATGTGGATACAGGAAGGGTGGAAACGTTGCCTCGAATGGACTTTCATGAAGTGATTTACGAGAGCTATCTTCCACTGAACATCATCAATATTTTCGCGATATTCTGAAAATATCGTCGTGGTGTTTTTGATGACGATGTCGCCGCGAAAAATTGCTCGGAATTACTTCTTTGAAAATTTTTGTAACAATAAGTTTGCTGCAAAAATAATTTTACAAAATATCTAACAAGTTTTTAAAAATGCTTTACATGTAAATATTTTCAAAAACATTCCTTAAAAAAACTTTATAACTATTCTACTTTTTTCAGTAATTTTTTTTAAATTATAAAAAATGTGTTTATCAAATTTGGCAGGGTAGCAGTCTTACAAGATTTTCAAAAAAATTTCATTTTCACGGTCTTGTCAAATAAACGACCGGCAGAGCTTTTGCGGAGAGATTTGGGGAGTGAGAATGGAGACGGATAAAGTGGAAACACCCGTGGTTTTTATTCGAATATAAAATCCAGCGACAATCGATTGTTGGGATCGGCTTTCTTTGATGGTGCGGGACTGCCAACCTTCTCCTCCCCGCCCTGGGTTAGTTTTGCGGTTTTCAGGTCCGATTCGAGGTTACCAGATCGTGCAGAACCACTTAAAGTTTTTCCCATGAATCAATATGAAGTAGAAACGCCGATCAAAGAAATTTGGCAATCCTGGTCGGCGCATTAGTTTTCTTTCAGCAGAGTCGCTGTGGTTATTAAACATTACGTCGTCGGTTCTGTCTTGCTCATTTCGGATGAGGTCACGATTATTAAGATACTTTTTCATTATTCCAGGCAAGACTCAAATATTCCGCATGTATTCCCCAATTTTAACGACGCTACGGCGACGGCACTGTGCGAAATAGAGGGAAATATTATTGATTGACACCCTCTTTGTCGGTGGGGCAAGCTTGGCATAAAACCATACCTAACTGTCGGATGTCAAATTTTAGTCGTGAAAATGTTCAGTAAAAAAGTCAGTGCCGTGATATTTTTGATCGTATAGACATTCTTTTGTGCTTAACGGTAAAAAATCGCTACACCTAGCGCATTGAAAGTCCTGTTAACTTTCAGTCGCTAATATTAAAATTTGTAAAAATGTTATGTGGTTCGGAATAACTAGGATTTTTTTGCAACTAGCCTTCAAGGCTGACCTCAGAGGTTGAAGCTATACTAGGTTAAACGAAGCTAAGCAAATATCATAAACCAGTTAAAATACGAGTTACACTCGGGTAAATTAATGAGAGCCTAAACTAAAATGGGTAATCAAGGCTAAAAAATTCAGAATTTCAAGTGACCGGGATGGTATGGGGTCCCACCAACCCCACCTCAACATGCAAAGAAATGTCCTAATATAATTAAAAAGGACCACGAATTGTAATGAAAATCGCATATTACATAGTGTACTGTTGTACCCGGTTGAAAGTGGTGTTTTCAGGACCTCGAAACGTCCTAAGCTTCTAAATTTTTTAGTCTGTATGCTCGTATATTTTCGGGTTGAATGATAAGTAATGAATTACACGGCCAAAGCGTTTGCATGAGAAAAAAATTGTACCTGCAGCAAAGTAAGCTCTGAATAATTAGATTAGAAGGAATCGGTTCGCAGCGAGGCAGAACGGTACTTTATCGAATGGCTCCCCTCGCATGCAACCACTATCGCTGTCTACTGTGTTTCCCGGTTAAGCAGTGAACCGATGGTTTGCCAATATCCCAACATTCAACTGGCAGAGCTTTCATCAGAATGCCGGGCAATAACCATAAAAACACGTTTTGATATTTTCCGTGCGCATCCTCAATTAGTCGCAACATGCAAGCGTTCCCGCCACGGAGGAGTAATCAGCACAGAAAGCCTATCAAGCTTATTTTGTTACAACTCCCAGTGTTGCCGCTTCTCGTCCCTCGACATATCCCACGCTCTCTTGTGTCGAAATGATATTTTCACCGGAGGAATCGGCAGCCGCGAATTCGAGCTCTTGCACCAAAAGCATGCTCGTCAAACTTCGCTATCGGTGGATATGCTTCTAAATTATAATTACTTACGACTAGATTGTAAGCTCTGTGAATTATATGCGCCTGTGCACGGCTTTTGTTGGAAAGTTCGGAGCATTAGCGTAATTTCCTATGATTAGGAGAAAGGCGCGGGGTGTGTGATTTTGTTTCCATCATTCACACGATGGACTCACTCAAATGAATTTTTTTGACCAGAATCGCCCTGAGTGGATTTCATGTTGTCAAGTTTTCTCTCATGTTTCATCTTTTTAATAACAAGATTGGAACTAAACAACCTAACGCCTAGGGACTGTCTCTGAGTTTCTCTTACCATGAACAATGATAGCATCAAATAACAGATCTGCCTTCAAAAGTCAAAATACTTCACGCACATCCGCGGAGTTTAAATATTTGTATCACCCGAAGAATAGAAATTTCTTGAAGTAGCGAGAGCTAAACGTGACTTTCCAACCTTGAACAATTGGACGTATTTCTGCTAAACGGAACTATGTGCATCAAGACATGAGCCCTGATACCCATAAGAATAAATTCATAACAGGGTTCACGTCATACTGCACATTGTTCCGTTTGGCAGAAATACGTCCAATTGAGACTTCAAATCACGAAAATGCCTTCAAAAGTCAGAAGACTTCATGCACATCCGCGGAGTTTGAATACTTGTATCACTCGATAAATAGAAATTTCTTAAAGTAGCCAGAACTACAATATTTTCAAAGCGATTTCTTTTTCCGTGAAATTAAACGTCTACAGTGATTTTGAAAATACGAGGTACTTTACACCCGCGCTCAGAGTCAGAATATTTGCATCCAGTTCGTAAAAGTTGCGAGTCGAAAGAGAGAAGACTAGAAAAAGCGCACGGATATTTTTTTCTTATTTTTTAATTTTATTTTCGCTATAAACCTTCTCTTCATTTTTCTAACTGAATCCTTCCCTGTTCTACTTACTTCAAGTATTCGAATGAAACCGAATAATTTACCTCTGCAATCTCAGCATTTATTAAGAAACAATTCACTGTGTTAGTACGGATGCAAAAGAAACCGTAGAGTTTCAACACTCATCTTGCTGATATTTTTTTACATGGAATTAATGAAGGGAAAAACTTTTTGTTTCATATTTTTACTCTCGATTCAAACTACGAAATAAGTTTGAGATTGATCCACTGAGTGGTGGGATGGAAGACAGTATGCTAGACGGCACTTGGCTTGGTCTCCGTGCAAGCGAGCGGCGTGAGCCGCATCTGCGCCGATGCTTATTGGCTCGCCAGCCTGTAATTACAACTCGTTATAAAATTATACATTCACATTCCTCGTAATTTATTCAAAATGGCCGGCGCGCCGATGCACGGGTTCACCGCTTAAAACTGCGCGTTTCTCACTTTTTTCCCCCGAGTTCTCGCGAGGCTGCGTTTCATCTCAATCGCTGCTCGAAAAATTAAATTTCTGATCATTTTTACGGCCGTGTCTGGGGTCAGTATTCATTGCAAGATTGCCGCCTGTGTAACTTTATTCCAGACTTCCTTCGCGTCTTGAGGAGTATTACGCTGTAATGTATGTAGAAAATTGCAAATCCAACCTTAAAATTACAAGCATGGCGAAGTTTCTTCTTCGTCCTAAAAAATAGTCAGTTTGCAGTCAAGTCGTATTCTGCCGTGCTAAGGAAGAACGCCGTATGAACATTCGAGATTTTCCAAATTTTTCTCACTAAAATGTTCATTTTTGAGGAAATCTAAGAATATTTTTCCAGAAAAAAAAAAAAAATTCAGGAACTTCAGGCGAAAATGGGAAGAAACTTATCTGAAAAATTGGAAGACATATATTCATAAGTTTACCGGGAAAGTCGTGATTTATCAAAGAAAATTTGACAACACCTGAAGGTTCATACGGCGTTTTTCCTTGTCAGTATCGTTTTTTAGCCATTGGAAACAGTGTTCTACCTTCCCCCTAAAATTTTCTCGGCCGCAAAGCCCAAATTTTAGGAGCCATCTACCATTTTTTAGGAGTCGAATGAAATTTTTGCACACGGGCCATGGCGATGCTGCGAACGGTGCGTATAGAGGGCGCTTCATCGCTACCGCTGCTTCCTGATTGCGAGTTCAATCTGTCAAATATTTTAGGCGCCACGATGACCCAACCCCCCAATTTTTAGGAGCCAAAGCCCGATTTGTAGGCACATTTTTTCGGCGCATGGCACCTGGGGGAGGCATAACACGATTGGAAATGATACAACGCTACTAGAATTGGATAGGAACGTTTTACTTGCCTGACGCACCTGTTTGAACTGCTCCTCGAAGCTCCAAGTTTGCTGCGACGACGAGGAGGACTCGGATGAGTGCGAGGAGGCGGATGATGTCTGATGAACGTTGACCGGGGCCGAGGGCGGGAGGAAGGGGAGGGCGGCGGCCGGGTGGAGGAACGGGAACGGCAGCGGCAGCGAGAATGGAGGCGGCGGAACCATCGGCGAGGCCGCCGTCGCCGTAGGCGTCAGCAACCCCATGTCCTCCGCCTGCGAGAACGAGAGCCCCGAGCCACCCCGCCTGATTATCCGATCCCTCTCGTGGAACAAGGCGCTCTTCGTCAGCTTTGCCATCTTCTCCGCCATCCGCAACTGCAAAAAAAAGAAAATCTCGTCAGTCAAATTGATCTTAGTACCTGATAGCGGAAATTCCCGAAAGCGCAAAAACGGAAGACAATATGCACAAACCAAAATCGCATATTTTAAACACAAGAAGGCGCCAAAAGCACACACGTAGAAACAAATGGACTGAGCTAAGCAGAAAGGAACCAAACCACATTTTGGAAATTTCAGTTATGAGTGGTTTTGAACTCAGCCACTTCTCTACTATCTATCGCTAAAAATTTAAAGTTTTTGTTTGGGCAAATTTTGCAAAAATTGAACTTAAAGTTCATCTTTAGCATTGAGTCTTATGCAGGAGCAAAACTTTACATCTCTTTTTTCCGGATGTGGCTTGGTTTCTTTCTGTTTAACTCGGTCCAAATCTACCCTACCCTAAACCCACGTGACTTAACTCCTAACCTGAGCTAACTTTGCGTTAGGTTAGTATGAGCCCTCTAAAATTATAACAATAAATCGTATTACCATAAATACTTTATTCAGATGAATTAGAGACAATAAAAAATGACTGGCTGAAAAAAGTGACTTTTCCTCACTAAAAACAAAGGTTAAAGAGTAACGGCTCATACAATTTACTTTAACAGGCTTGATATTGACCACTTGATTCCTTCTCTCTTTCTGTACCACTATGTCGCTCTGTAACCATACCACAGTTTGCGCAAACGAGCCACCATCCAAAACCTACGTATTGACGATTTGCGTAGTTGGAATTTTACGGTTTTGTGTGTCTTTGTTGAGAGTATGCACAGAAAAAGAACTCTTTCACCGGATGAAGGGCCCAATTTAGGAGAAAGGAGTAACAACCCTTAAGTATCCCTCAAAAATTAGAAATATCATGTTTTTCTTGGCAAATTTGATCAATTTTAATGCACCTTGAGACTCATTGAGACTATCGAAAAATTGGTCAGAAATAAAATATGGTAATTTGTTGCTCTTTTTAAAAGAATGATAAAGCAATCATGTGCCAGAAATTGACATGATTTTGTTCGTAAACCACCTGTGCGCTAATGATATTGTTGATATTCATTTTAATGTCNTACCGAGCAAAAGTAGGTGTAATATATTAGGACGCAGACCGAACTTTCTTAATATAATCGTTTTAAGCATTTAAAACACGTTTCGAAGAAGAAATAAGGAAAAATCAAGAGGACAAGTTCAAATCAAATTTCCGTTTGCCGCCATGGATTCCCGCGCTCATTTACACACTCACACAAACGCGCAGCGCCGAACCTAGCTTCACTTTTTCCCCGTGCTTTTAGATACGAGCACTCCGTCTTTATGTCTTTGCTCTGTAACCATACCACCGTTTGCGCAAACGAGTCACCATCCAAAACCTACGTATTGACGATTTGCGTAGTTGGAAATTTGCGGTTTTGTGTGTCTTTGTTGAGAGTATGCACAGAAAAAGGACTCTTTCACCGGATGAAGGGCCAACTTTAGGAGAAAGGAGTAACAACCCTTCAGTCTCCCTCAGAAATTAGAAATATCACGTTTCTCCCGGCAAATTTTGATCAATTTTAATGCACTTTGAGACTATCGAAAAATTATTAAAAAATGAATTATGGTAATTTGTCGCTCTTTTTAAAAGATAAAGCAATCGTGTGTCAGAAATTGACATGATTTTGTTCGTAAACCACCTGTGCGCTAATGATTATTGTTGATATTCATTTTAATTTCTTGTCTACTTTTCGACGTGTGCATCGTTCCACTTTCAATCATGAATTCAACACATCAAACAAAAAAGAATACGCATTCGATAATTGCCTAAAATTAGGCGAATAATTATGTCCATAATTATCGACTCTCGTCGCTTGGATGGCTGGACGATCACTTGAGAGGAAATTAGGTCCCATTATTAGACCTACGAAACTAGACTATGAAATCAATTTTTGGATTGATCCGGCTCTCCCATTATTATCTGCAGGAATAACATATATGCCGGTGGTTTCCCCTTATAAGGACGTAGTTTTTCATTCCTGTGCACCACAGAAATATCGGCATAGTTACATAGATGCATCCAAAATATTCTGTTATATAATAATATTCCGTTTCTACATTTACTCAGCACGGGAACAGGAAAACGGAAAAACGATTAATGATGCCAGAAAAAAACTCATAGAGATAAGAAAGCCAATAACACTACATTGTGTTTGAAACGTCAAACAAATTGAGAGGATTCTCAGTTGAGAACAATGCGAGAAGGAAATACGTGAGAAATTTAAATGGAAAAAAGCACAGATTACAGAAATGCATGCTTGTCATGTGGCTGAACAAACTGATATTTGTATAGTTAAAATATAAATAAAAGGGCTTAGAGTATATCTAGTACAATGCCTCGTCAAGAGCTGCAGATTAGCAGCGCGTTAGAAAATTGAGCTCTGAGAATTGTGTGGTCGAAGGTTTTTTAATTGATAAAATCCGGGGAACGTGCAAAACTGAGCAGTTACACAATTATTCTATTTTAGATACCTACCTAACATATTGTACTTAAATTCTTTTTCCTCGTAGCGGAACATTTCTGACCTAATTATGATTGTTACAAAACCGTTAGCGGGGATACTTACAATCTATTTTGAGAGGAATTTTTTCTCTGTGCTGAGTAGCCTGATTTTTGTCCTGAAATTTTGTCTATTTTAAGATACTGAGGTTTATGGACACATTTATTTGCTTTCAGTATGCACACTCTTCGTACAGAACTTTGCAAAAAAGAGAATCTAGGTGTAATGAACATGATATTATTCATATAATGTCTAATCCCATTTAAAAACTACTCGTAGAAATTCATTCATAAAAAAGTTTACTATTTACAAAATATAATACCCTCCCAAAATTGTCATTTGCTAAGTCTCCAAATGGTGACCCTCGTTGCAAGAGCTGATTAAAATAAAAAGAGAGAATTCCATTTGTGATTCTTAAACGATACAGAGATTTATTTTAAACTGGGGACTTTATCATGATTGGTTGTGCTCAAATCTGTTATAAATGCAAATGTGACGTCTTAGCACTGGGGTGTCACTAAAGTTTAGGTTCATTACTTCATCCTCGAAATAATTTTCCAGTTTTCTGTGGATAAGAGAGACAACTGTTAGAGACACTAATAATTGTCCAATGTAATGAGCATGCTCAATCTATAGAGAGGTAAAAAGTGAATCCCAGCAATTTATTGCAATATTTCCATAACGTTGATGCTCGTCGGTATTGTGACGCAAAAAGAAGAGGAAGAAATAACGCTTCGAAATTCATCTTTGAAAGAACACTGAACTTCTTTCCTTTCCACGAGGAATAACATTTTAAAGTAGACTCCAGAAAACTTCTCTGGTTGATCTTCGGTTTCTGTTTTAGACTTCATCATGATTGATTGTAATCAAGTCTGATATAAATGCAAATGTGACGTTTTAGCACTGCCCCCTTTTATCAATGGTGTTCAATTTTGTACCTTTTTCCGATCATCGTCGTTGTGTTCTTCTATTTCTCGGTGCATTTGGTCATCAATGTCCTCGTCACCCATATCCTCGCCATCGCTCATTTCTGGACTCGACTGTAACAAACAAACAAAAGTTTGACTGTTAGCGCCATAGTCACAAATTGAAGCATGCGCATGCAACAATGCCATGCATTGAATGCAGAATAATACAAAATAGCGCGTGTTCAACGCACTGAAGGAAAATCTCCTTGGACCGAGTGTCGAAGTTGGGGGCGATCAATGAACGTAACAGTTGAGCTTAAACACAAACCGATGAAAGCTAATATCGGTCGAGGTGAATAAAAATACAGGTTTTTATCGAAATTTTGGCGATACCAAATAAAAGTTCTGTGAGAGAAACTGTAGAGATTAAACTTACAAAGGAAGGTAAAACGAACCCGATACAATCAATGTCATTGACTTTATAATTAGATTGAAATTATGCATTGATTGGTTAGAACCTTCATGATTAGGTTTGCCCTCTCACCATGACTTTCAAGGAGAATGCTTCCAAAGTTTTATGGGACAATTAATTCATGTCGGCTTCGAGATTAAAGCTTTTCTTCCGGTATTGAGAAGTCATTGATTCGTGTACATTTTAAAACTGGTCCGCATCAACCGAAAAAGTGTCACTTACACGCTGACAAATATTTCATGAAACGCTTCATTTCCACAACTTTAGTCATATTACGATGTCTACCCTTCTTCCGAAAAGAATATTTTTATCACAAGTTTTCTTTGCTTATTTGTTTGAAAAACCAATCAAATTTTACGATTTCTTTTGTTCCTCTTAGCCCTTATTCTGGGGACATCATTCCTTCGAGATTTAATTTAATCTCAGTCCAATCCGTAGATGGTTACGACGCGACGGTAGCTATAATTTGCGACCTCAGTCAAGCGTTTCTAGAGAAGTTTTGAGTAATATCCCAATTCTTTTTCTCTCAACCCTTTTTTTTTTGTTAGGTGTCAAACCTAGGCGGTGGCCCATTCAACCTCAGTTATAAGTCTGCACTTAATAAAATTGCTTTTTGCTTGTGTACTTTCTTACCCACGCGTTTAAGTCTCTTGGTTTAATATTCGTAAATTGACACTTTTACGACTTTTCTGTTTCAGGCGTTTTACGTTTTCAAGTTTATTTCCACTGGCTCTTCCTTCGAGAATATTTTTCGAAAATAAAAGACTAGTATCTGATTAGTCATAGCTTTGGATATAATATCGAGCTAGTATGCGGCGAAGACAAAATATGGAGATATAAGATTTGATCGCTAAGATTATTTTGGATGGTTACTGCCAATTTTACCCAAAACGAAGATTTGTTCAATAACGAATAAGATCAGATCTGTAGAGCCGAATTCAGGAAAAATTTTGAAATTGACGATTTCGAGTTCTCAGGAGGAAACGCTATCTCAAACCCTTTGGAACAGGCTGAGCGTGGTTTAAGTTGAATTTTCTCCACATTGAAAGGTGCTAGCTTCCGTTCTTTTGTGTTCATGTCAGAATTCGAACCTAAATTTAAATCTGAAAAAACGTAAAAGTCGGGAATTTTTGTTTTAGAACTTCAGGACTTCTTTATCACGTTCAATTTTTGGGGGTGTAACTTGCGTTTTAGTCTACGCAGTGGTACTGACAATGGACCACTAGACAAGGTACGAATTTCAGCATTCTGATACATGTTTCATAACTAAAATTTCACGTAGAACAGGATGCGCACATAGAAAATTACCGAAATTAACTCCTTACGAAGATATTTGATAATTCTTGATGTGTGAATTCAAACCACCCGCTCATTAAAACTCAATGCTCTACGTGATTCACATCGCGCGCTGAACGTTATCATGACAGTCTCTGCGATGTAAAAATCTGGCAACCTCAGTCTTGACGCTTTGGCTCAGCTGTAGCAAATTGCTTATAGTTTGAACAACACATGGTCGAAAATGAACATTGCTCGATTGAGAGGCTTGCTGAAACCGTTGTAGTGCGCGATTTGACTCGCGTAGAGCTTTGAGTTTCTTGTGAGCGGGCAGTTCGAATTCCTTGTAGCCAAAGTGAAATAAAAACGTTAATATCTTTGTTAGGAGTTGGTTTCAGTAATTTCCGTCGTGTGAATCGTGTTCTACGTGAAATTCTGATTCAGTAACATGTATCAGATTGCTTCAATTCGTACCTTGTCTAGTGGTCCATTCGCCAGGAAGGCAGAACAACGTATCTCTCCTGTTACATGGCAGAAGAGCGCACTTGTTTCAAGAACCTCAACGACTTCCATGCGCGGAATTTCCCGCGACTTTCCCGTCGATACGTTGGCGAGAGCTCTTGGGAAACTCCGATGGACCGGTGTTGCGGCGGGTGTCGTGGCGCTGCGGTGTCGGTATCCGCGGGGGTGGTGGCCTCAAGGCGCCAATCGCGGTCCGCATCTCCGCGACGTCGTCGCCGTCGCGCTCCGCGCCGCGCCCGCTCGCGCAACGTTCCGCCGATTTCACACGCGTTAAACACTCATCAAAAATGGCGCCCATCTCGCATCGCTCGCCCGCTCCATGCCCGCCCATCGCCCGCCGCAGCGTGGACCCGGCCCAAGGACAATTCGAACACATCAGGAAGTATAGTGAGGATGGATTCTCGGATTTTAGGGGTCCTCACCTCGTACAACTGGAAATAATATTTCGTAATTTTTGGGCCGGATCTGTTTTTAAAATTTCGAGACCTGATCTATGCGTTACAATTACATCGGTTACATCGGTATTAAACGTCGAGCCGACGATTTTTGAAAGGCGACGGTCAACGATTGCAACGATGAGCCTCTTTGAAGCCTCTAGCACGTGAAGAAGTGCCGATATTCTGCTTCTGATAACTCGAAGGCCGCAATCAAAGAACTTTTATCACTTTTGTAAAGTTTGGAAAACTCTATTTGTATTAGGGTAAGGTTATTAACCAAAGTGGCGCCCTGATATTTTTTTCCTGTATTTTTAACAAGTGAAATAAATTCCAAGAAAAACTGCAGATACATACACTGTTAAAAATCAATAATTTACTCTGAGTGAATAGCCGGCGTGAAAAAAAAAATTGAAACATCGCAATCGAGAGAGTCTACGCCAAATGATTTAACGGACTTTTAGAGTGCGACAGAAGTTCTCGTGACCTCAGTCATAAGCATTGAAAGTCAATGCAAGAATCAAGATGACGGATATTCTGTCGCAGTCTAAAAGTGAATACACTTATTTGGCGCGGACTCTACTCGTTCGGGAATTCACAGTCGATTTATGGATCGGCCTCGCGCTCAATTGGACTACATTTTGCGATTAGGAACTACGATTTTTAGCTCAGATTAGAAACAACGTATTTACCATTAATTTCCCCAGGCATACAAGCGTTTTTACAGCCGAGTCAGAAATAATGGTTCCAAATTGCAATGTAGTCCGATATTCCGCAACACTCGACTGCGAGGCCCCTCGAGCGCCGAGACGCTGCGCATCAACCCGCCGCTCGCCGGTGAGAATGCGATATGAATATTTTTCAATTCAACTCCCAGCGCTCATAAAATTTTCCACCGGTTTCAATTAGCACCGATTCCCGCCTTATTTTCATCGAGCCATTATTTCATTAACAATCCATTCTTTTTCCATCTTTCCTTCTGTCGAAAGTTTCTCACGCCGCCGCGACTCGACGCGGATACACCGCTCGATATCGCGCACAAGCGTATGAGTGTTGTTGTTGTTGTGCCGACCGCTAACACCTACCATTACGAGCACTAAGAGATCCATTTTTGATTGGCTCAACCGTCAGCCATACTAGGGCCCATGGGCTGCCTTGAACTCAGAATAATGGCCGAGGTTGCATGCAGGAGGTTTAGATAGGGTCTAATTCGACTTGTATCACCGTCAGCTTAACTGAAAAATTACTCAGGTTAGAAGACCGGTGGGTTTATTGCAAACTTTATACTTGAAGCAAAAAGAAAAGTTGTTTCTGATTGAAGATAGAAAATAGTTAGAAATAACGATGAGCGCATCGGGAAAGCCTGAAATACGCTCCTAACTTCACGATCTGCGTTTTTTAACCTTCTCGCTTCAAAAACGATACTATGGCACAGGTGAACATTTTATGAGAGCAGTTGTTCCATTCAACCCTTGCGCACAAGGATGCTGCGCAGTATTCAATATAGCCGACGACAACCAACCAAAACACTCGTTGCAAATTTTATCGACCGGCGTGTTTGTATTGAAATTATCCTTGCGATTTGCGCGCGAACGCGTCAGCCATGTTGAATACTGTGTGAAAGACCTCGGTGCACCGAACTGAATCTTACTCGATCAACTGAAAAGGTCAGTTCGTGGAACCAAAGGTTCCGGTTTTTCGAACCATGGAGCGCCCATCGAACTTTTTTCCGTGCGTAGGCTTTTCATAAGGAGCTCACAAAAACCCATTTTGCATCTGGTGGGATAAGATCATCCTTCTGCTTAACGCACAAACGAGTCTCGGAACCGAGAATCCCTGTATAATTTTAGACCGGATTGCATAACGGAGGGAACAAAGAGGGGAGTGAAATCTGTGAGATACCCGAGCTTTGGACACCGTGGGTTATGTCACAGGTGACAGACGTTCGTCAATACTTTTCAATAGACCAAGAAACGATTGGGAGCCCGAGTCATACCCACAATCAGTCACAAAATCAGCCGTGTAGGGTGGTGTACGACACTTGCAAGATTGCGTTTCTCGGATCAAGGTCAAGTCGGGAACCACTTCCAATTTTTCCCCACCGACCTCTTGGCTGATCCTGAGACAGCTGGTCTCATTATAATCCATTCTTTTATGGACTCCGCGTTGTCTGACGGTTTGATTAAGCCAGACTTCGATACTACAGAGACGAGGTTTTCAGCAGCATCTAGCAACCCTGATCGGACTGGCGGTCATAAATTTTTTGTAACATTGCCAGATACATTTTAAGATAACTAATTGATAGCTGGTGATGACGAAAGCTCATCGTTCACCCATAAAATTTGTGGGCGTGAGAAAGTTTGAAAATTTTTAATTGTAATGGTCGACTTCCGTAGAGTATTTTGACCATAGTTGGCATTTCGTTCTTT